GAGGGAAACGGCAGGTTTGGGACACGCTGATGGCCTTCACAGATGGCTTCAGGACCCTGCCCATGGGAGACTTTCTACTCCACCTGTTAATTTATTCATTTTCCACTGCCAAGGAGACACTGAGGCCAATGTGATTGTTTCCGAGAGCCAAACTCCCCTGAGAGCAGCGTGGGTGTTTTCTCAACCAGTCTTTTCTCCCCCCCTCGCTTTTTCTCCGAGCCTCTTCTGTCCCCCTGCCCTCTTTTTGCCAGGTCAGTGTTGTTGTGCGTGTGTGCATGTGTGTGCGCGTGTGTGTGCGCGTGTGTGTGTGTTGTGTGGATCTAATCTCATCACCCTGGTGCAACAGGCCGGCTGACAGGCTTTGAATGTCATTGTCACAGGGTCATTGTGTCGCTGAGTCAGTGTGTGACAGAGCAGTACCAAGCAGAAGAAAGGCTACAGTCTGACTGTCATCTATTACTCTTTCACACCGAGCCACATTATGTTTCCCTGGGGGATGGGAGACAGATCTAATTTCACCAAAAAGTGTAAATGCAACAGAATGGTTTGAGAGAGGGACTGAAATTTAGTTTCTGAAAGTTGCTTGGAGCAGTGAGACTGAAATGCATATCCATCTCTGCAGGTGATCTCAGATGCTGAAAAGGTGTAAATGTATCAGATTTCACAGCACATTTTACATGTTTCAAGCCAAAGTTGAAGTAAACTCAGGGTTTTCTTTCTGTGATGCAGATATGAGCCATCGACCCTGTCAGATTAAAGTGACATGAACAAAGCGACTCCAACAGCATTTGCAGCATAAGGGACATGTTACTGCAGTGTGTAGTGTTGGGCTGCTCGAATCTGGAAAAAACCTGAGAATGACAAGTTTTTCATTGGTTGACGGACAAAGATAATGTTGCATCATGGGGTGATTTAGGTTTTATTTGGTAGAAAGTGGGAGTCCCTGATTAAAAGCAGTGGCAGGATCATTTTCAATTACATAAGAGATTTGGAAATAGGTGGGAATCAAGATCACAATTTTAATTCGATGCAGATCTGTCAGAGTTGGATTGAAATGGCACAGAAAAAAAGGAAGGCACGCTTAAATTCATCGATCATATGTGCTTCACTGGACATGATCATATCATTCACATGAATCTCGTACAGAGAGCAGCAAATTACTCTGTGTATTGTCACATAGTTCAGACTCCATGTTGCATCACCACATAAAGTTTCTCTGACTTTATACTTAGTTTGTTCAATAGGCCTTCGAAATGGAGACTGAATGGCACAAATACTCACAGCCACTCACACAGAAACACTTTCAGAGGACACTTGCTAACAAAATGCATTTATTAACCCTTAACCCTCACAACTAAACTAACCCCAATCCCTTGTGCTAAACCTATTTAACCATCACCATCCCATGTCTTGACCCTTAAAAAGACCTTTTCTAGGTCTGTCAGAAAATGAAGAACAGCAACAAGTGTCCTCACTCTGTAAGGTCTAGTAGTCAATGTAGTCAAGTAGTAAATGGTCCTCACAGAGATAGAAGGACAAGTACATGACTTTAAAAGAGATTTGCCTAAACTAAACCCAACCTTACCCTTTACTTTAAAACATGAATGCTTTTTGTCCCCGTAAGGGAGAGAAGTCCCTGTAATACAGTGTGTAAACAGGTTAGGTCCCCAACGTGAAGGATTCTTAGACCACACACACACACACACACACACACACACACACACACACACACACACACACACACACACACACACACACNCACACACACACACACACACACACACTAAAACGCAACATCTTTAATGCATTTTACTGAGCGACGCAGGCCAGGGCTCGGAGCCAGTACACTCGTTCTCATGTGCTGCTGTTTCCACCCTCTCTCTCTCTCTTTCACTCTGAAACGAATGTATGACTCTTGCTGTCCTCCCTCCTCTCTTCCTGCAGACAGGTGGTCTAAAGGTTCGGACCAGAAGGATGTTGGCTTACTTTCTAATGCTGCTTTAATGGTACCTTGTGTGGCGGGTCGAGAGAGGCCCGCTGCAACTAATAGAAATTCTTCGGACTCTCCAGGATGTTATATAATGGTCTCTTTCTCTTTCTCGGGACTAGTCAAATCTGATTAACGTGCGTCTGAGCATGTGCCCACGGGTGGTGTTCATGTCTGCGGTGAGAGATGTTTAAAATCACATGAAGAGACGGTTCCAGTTTGTATTGATAAATGAACAAAGGATGAAATGATCTTTAGAATCTGCCTTTTTTAACACAAGTAAACTTGTTTTGAGAAAATGTTACTTGTTGCTCATGCTCAATACTTTGTCTGAAGACGGTGAAGTTTAAAACATCAGCAGTAAATGTCAAGCTTTTTCTTGCCAGCAACCCAGAAAAGAGTGCTTCCTTCCAGACTCACATTTTTTCCTGAAATGTTCTCTCCATCCATCCTGAAAACTGGAGTTAACTTACAACATCTGATACTGAACAGTGGATCTGTGTATATTTGTTCTTTCATTGGCCATAACCTTCAAATAAAACCACATTGATTAGATTGATTTGGGATTAATGAAGGAGATCAGCAGTTCACAGCCACTGGTTTCAGGGTTGGTATGTGTAAATCTGATTTACAGTTCACACATTCAGGCTTCTTCAGCTCGGTTCCCAAATGAACTTCATCACGCATCATCTCAAATATGGAAAACAGAGGTTGTAATTTGATCACATATCTCTGGGTTTTGTTAAAGGGAACTAATGGAAAATGTAGAAAATACAGAGGAACAACAAATGGGTGGGTTATGGAAAATATGATAAATGACAAATTACATTACAGCCAAGAACTCACGGTAAATTGAGAAATATTTCCTTGATGTTGTAGTAACCATTGAGACGTGTGCAATGCCAAAACAGACACTGTGGCTGTTCTTTCACAGTTTGTGGGCGTCTGCAGGACGTTTCTGTAATCAGTGTGTTAAGACTCATTTATGCTGCTTTTATATACGAAAAGAGATGAAAGAGATGCGTCCATTTCAAACAATGTAACTGCCACAACCCACGTCCTTCTATCTTTTTAAATTTAATTTCAGCTAATAGATCCCTGTCACCTGAATCGTACACACTGGACCTTTAAGAAAGACGGAAAAGCAGCTGTTAGGATTAAGCTACATCCCCCCGATTTTTGGTGGTACTAACGTTGAGCACAAATGAGCCTTTATGGTGTGCGCATGTTTGATAGAACTGATACTTGTTTGAAATTAGTTCTCATTGCAGAAAAGTGAGACAACAGCAGCTTGTGGTCATTGATTTCCTGACGTGTGTGTGTGTGTGTGTGTGTGTGTGTGTGTGTGTCACTGGTCCCTCATCAGGCCCTTATTAACTACATGAAGTGACCTGTGAAGACGTGTTGATGGGCATCTGTGGGACGCAGCCAAGTTTCTCCCAGGTTCCTTTTTCACCTTTTGCTGATTTACCTCGTCTCGCTTTATGAAATCTGCTCATCATCTCACTTAAAGTTTTTTGCTCCACCACACGAGAGCTGGTGCTGCTCTGAATGAGGGAGCAGCACTTTCTAACAAATCCAACTCCTCCACCTCACTGAAAGTTTTTTTTTTATCACTGTCTCCAGTAAAGAGTCCGTCCAACATGTTTCTGCCCTGTCCCCTCCTGTTTCAGCCATTTCACAGCCTGGAGACAGAGTGTGCTCTATCTCCACAATCAGTTGGAAATCGGTCATCACTCTACTGGCGTGTACGCCTCGAACAGTTTCCAAAAGTCTCCACGTTCCGGGAAATGTGGGCGGAAGACAATATACATTGTACAGTGTCACAAATTATCCATCTCACTTTGTTTGAGATGCCAAATCTTTTCATTTCAGTGAATACGCTCTGTGTGCGTCTTGATTTAGCTCTGGGTGGTTTCGGTGTTGCTGGTCGGTTACATTGCAGCCTCCTGTCTGTCCGCATCACTCCTTTACGCTTTAACATTAAATACTTGTGGTTTTGTAGCCCAGGCTTTGTGTAAAATTGAGGGCCCCAGTGTGGATATGGCAGATTTTGGCATCGCACAGAGTGCAGTTGAGGTTTCACGTCTTTCTTCCCTTTGGAGGGAACAGTGAAGGTGCAGGCCACATGCACTCTCACAATCCTTACATACCCTTACGGTTGTGGAGAAACAGCTCCATAGACTCAGAACGCAGTGCTAACATGGCGGCATAGTTCTATTCTTTGATACTACTTTGATGTTCAAATGTTGAAAGTGAATTAAATAGTCTAAATCTTAACTATACACTGATCAGTGTAAATCTGATCAGTGTATAGTTAAGATTTTGTATTATCTGTCTGATTTCTGTCTGTGGTCCATTGGTTACCACTGTGGCCTTACAGCAAGAATGTGCTTGGTTTAAAACTCACAGCTGGCTGGAGCCTTTAGGATTTCTACAGGTACTCCAGCTTACTCCCACACTCTAAATCGCCCACTACACTCACACTACACAACTTACTATCTTGTGATCTGGAGTCTTGCAGTAATTGTGAGTTCATACCTCCTGACTGACTGATGAAACACTACACGTTCTTTCACATCTGTCTGTTTTGCTCTGATTGGCTGTAGCTGTATTTAGAAATCTAGAGGGAGATGATGTGTTGGAAAGGCTATAAATGTGTAGAATGAATAAAGCACTATTGTGAATGATTGTTTGTCTTTGTATGCCTGTGATAGGCTGGCGACCTGTCCAGACTGTACCCTCCCCTATTGGCCGATGTCAGCTGGGATTGGCTCCACCTCCATCATGACAGTGATATTAATAATGGCTGAATGGACGAGCATTTTTAAGATTCATAAAAATCCAAGAACCTGCCATGGTTTATATCATGAAAAAATTTGATTAAGTATGAATTTATGTCAAATTTAATCCAGATTGTTAGTTCAGGGAAGCTTTTTATTTTATGAATAAGTGCACTGTAATCTTATAATGATAGAAGATAGAAGAAACGGCACATTTCACAGAGGAATTCTTTATAAAAATTTCAAATATATTTTATTCATTTACTTTTTTGTAAAACAAAGATGTATTTCAGTAATAGAACTACTTACAGGTTAACTGATTAGAAAATATCAAAATTTCATTTCATTTCTACGGCAACAGTGAATTCAGGCGTTATGTCTGTATTTATGATTTCTGCTTTCATACCATAGAAGTTTGACTGAAGCAAAATGTTTTAAAAATGTAAGTACAAAAAAAAGAAACATTTGAAGAGTGATAGTGAAAAATAGCGAGTACCAGAGACTTATCAACCCAACATTGTTGGTACTGTCCAGAGTCTCTTTCTCTCTCGTTCTTTCTCCTTTTTTCTCCACTTGTTTTCAGGAAGATGTCTTCTCTTTCCCTCTTTCAGGCCGCAAAAAAAATGGTTCTGTACAAAGTCAGTGAAAGCATCATCCCGTCCGTCAGTCTGTCTTGTTCCATCCGTCTTCTTTCCCAGCAGGGATAAAAGAAAAAAAGCCCTGTTTCTAATGATCTAATATTCATCTGAATTACCTACTTTTTACATCATTATTAAAACATACAGTTTAGTGGGTCATCTACATTTCTCTGCTTTGCTGTTGTACTGGGAGCTGCTGTGCCAGCGTGCGCTCTGTCCCATTGCACAGCTCAAATATACTGTAGCATCATTCCTGTCAGCTTTTCTTTTACACAGAAACAAATTCTGCTTTTCCTCCTCCAAATTCTGTCTGTCTATAATCAATCGAAACTTTAGGCTCCCATTTCATAATGCTGCTGTCTTATCAATAACTCTGCTCTAAGATATCATAAAGTGGTTGGTTCTACTAAATCAGAAAAGGAAAGGAGAATTGTTAAGGAGGTTTATTAAATAGAAGACGGTTTATTAAATAGCAGGGGGTAGATGTGTAAATGTCCGTTTTAATCATAATTGCCATAAATCTGTTTTTCCTGGATCTTTTATTTTTGGGATGGAGCTGCAGAGCATGCTGCTTTTAGCCGCTCTGACATTAATATGCCTGATTCATCTCAGTGGATCAGAACGACCCCCCTTGGACTAGCTGATTCATGATAAAGCTGAGAAAATAAAAGCGCGGCCACCCTGGCAGGGGTATGTGGGGTTCAGGGATGCACTAGTGGAACGAGAATTAGTACTTTTGTAACAGGTTGGAGTGTGAGGAGATCGTGGACTGTACAGGGAGTACACAGGCGTGTCACTGGAAGACAGTGTGGTAGGTGGGACACTGATGGGACTTCATGTACTTGACGGCGAACTTGAGCTCCTTGCTCTTCTTGTCCCACTTGTGGATGGACATGAGCAGCAGCTGCTGGTCCACCTTGCGGCCCATGATGAGGAAGTTGGAGCTCAGGCTGTCCAGCTGCGAGCACGGGCAGTTGGCGCCGTTCTTGATGTACAGGGTCAGTTTCTTCAGGTCCTTCTTCCTCAGCACGCCCTGCTTCAACACTCGCTTTTTCTTCTGCGCCGCAATCAGCTTCTTGTCACCCTTCTCCTTCTTCACCTCCTTGATTTTCATCTTGAGGACTAAGGAAGAAGACAGGGAGATGTGTTAACTTTACACTTAATATAAATCACAGATATTTATATCCAGCAGCTCTTAATGTGTCATCCTGATTCCCCTGTTCCCCCCGACTCTGAGTAGTTGTGCCAGAGAAGTAGCTATTTTACATCTCTCCCAGGTATCATCATTTAACTTCTCCCACAGCATACAAATACAACAACTGCATCCTGTGTGTGTGTTTGTGTGTCTGACTTGGGGGGAAAACCATAAACGGTGAGGACATATTTATGGAACAGAGGCAAGTTTTAGGGCTTTTGGCACAAGTTCAGGTCTTCTGCAGAATGTCCGCACAACATGATCTGGACTTTCTCCAGATGTTTACTTTCACATATGAACATTGCAGCAGGAGATTCTCCGATCAGACATATTCATTCATTCGAGGAATTTTTGTTTAAAGCCCATCAACACTGGGGTTGGCCTGTACCACCAAAAGCTCTTTCCAAATAGACATCTTCATCAGGGTCTTCTACAAATATAGTTCCTCTTTTTTAACCTGAAATATTTGTATTATTCTGGGGATTTGTCTTCAGTTTTGCGACTCTTTTAGAAACGCCACCAATGCGCTCACTCACTCAAGGTGGATCCACTGGAGGATCTCCTGCTGTGTTCCCACATGGGCTCATTCGGATATTATCCAGAGTTTTTACTCTGGGATGGCATGGAAAATCTGGAGCAAGTGCGGAGCAGGTCTGAACACAGCTTTATTCAGTTCTCAAATGATGTGGCAAGTAAAATAGTTTATTTTTGGGGGTCAAAACAACTTTATTGTTTTTTTTTTTTTCAAGCGTCAAAGTTAAATCTTGTCTGAGGTCAAATCTTGCAGCAGTCAACTTCAGGTTTTTTCGTTTTTTGTGTGCATGTAGGTGCAGAACAGATATCCTCTGTGCAGTTTATGTTTCCTGCATTTGTGGAGTTTGGCTACAGCAAAAATCAGGTTTATCCACTAATGAAAAACGGAGGAGCGTCGTGTTAATAAGTTATAGTAGAGATTAAAATTGAACTGCCAAGCATTTGAGAGTGGAATTTTCTGGGTGAACATTCTGACAGGTGAAATCAATCACGGGCCGGGCAAAGGCGCAGGGTCGGCATGAAGCTTCGCTATGTGCCCAAGTCCTGCTGGATACTTGCCATTTCACTTCTCGCCTGCTAGTCTGCAGTTGCATAAACAGCCCTCGGAACACTCTGATACGAATTCAGTACATGTGGAGTGATAGCATGTTCAAGAAGGTATGTGTGTGCTGAGTTTCCTTTCATCCACGTCCCGATTCACATCCAGCTCCTTCAACTGAGGACGTGTGTTTATGTGCTGCGTTTGCATGCCGACACATACGAGCGTGTGTGAATGAATGCATTCAGGTATGTGTTGAGCAAAAAGATACCAAGGATAAAATAACTTCCCACTTTAAATGTTCTGGTCTGGGCAAATGTTTTACTGAAGTAAAATGTATACACAAAAGTACAGCATGAACTTTTCTACTTGAATAAAAGTAAATACTTGCTTTTAAATATATTTCAAGTATTAAAAGTAAAAGTAACTGTGTATCCTTTTCCTTTCCATGGTTTGGGGATGGCCTTATCTTAATGCTGCTGCAGGAGGCGGGGTCTAATGTTAACTGTCCACCCTTTAAAAAAAATATTATGTGATATTAAATGATATATGTTTATGATTTTGACCCTTTATTTTTTTCTCTTTAGTTTAGTTACTCATGTTTATTATTTATATCTTGTAAGGTGTCTAGAAAAGTGGTGTAAAAAATATAATTTGGGCCTAATATAATAATAACAATAATAATATTAATAAATCATATGTCATTGTTAATTATTATTATTATTATTAATAATAATAATACTTATTATTATAATTATTATAATTATAATGTGAGCATGTACAGCAATTTGTTTTAAAAATGTAAAAAATGCGTAATGAAGTAAATGTACTTAGTAACATCCCACCACTGGTTCAGCTTTATTCATACATTAGTCATGCGGCCTGGCCGGTATTCTCGTGACAAGCTGTGGACACGTCATTTTACAAACTCACTTTCTTTTTACAGTCAGCAGAGGAGGAGTAGAGGTAGAAGTTGATGAGAGGAGAAGGAGAGAGCGGTGCGCTGTCATTTTGAGGCAACACAGATTTTCTTTAAGCTACATCGAGGGGCCCCCCCTCCACCATACGGACCAGGTGTAGGTTGCACGTTCCTGCCAGACTCTCATCCCAGCTGCATTTCTTTTCTTAACTCTTGTTATTTTTTTACCATGCTTACTGGATGGTACAACCAGGAATGTGGAGAGATCAGACATCAAAAGTAGAGTGTAACAAAACACGATGTTCCAAATGCTCTCGGGGTGAACAGGATGACTAGGTTACAACATTCATGAGACGTTAGATCAAGCTGGAATCAGCTATCTCCCTATAAAATAACTCCGTGCTGTCATTTTTGCCTTGATCTCCAAATCCATACGTCATGGTTATCTTGACGTCTCTACTCATCCCCATGTCTCCTCCAGTCATATAGCCAATAAAATGTCTGGCTATCTGCCTTCATGTGTAATCATGTTTCATTCTAATGAAAAGAAAGAAACTGTGTGTTGCTCTCATGTTAAAAGATTGAGATGTGCAACGCCTCAATTAATCACACAAATAAATATCTGTGATTTGGTCGAGTCATGAGTGATTGTAGGGGATGAACATATGTTTTGGCCGCGGCCCAGCAGTGTGTGAGCATTGTGCACAAAGACATACTTTGTTGTTGGATGTGTTGTGGTTATTGAGTTATGATTTATAATGGCTCATCATCTGGAGGTGTGGGTAAGTCCCAGAAGATTACGAAACTTGGTGACCTTTAAATTGCAGGTTACTCTGAAGACAGGGGCAATAGTGTGTGCAAGCAGAATTTCATCAGCTGCCGAGTACGACGGGCCAAAAGCCTCCACGAGCAAATTTAATAATGAAATAATTATATTCTGACTGTGTGTACATTTCATTACTGCGGTGAAAGTGGAAAGTCTGGAAAATATTGTTGAATGGACATTGGGGACTGGAAGCTGTTAAATTATTGAATTATAAGAAGAGGGATTTTACTAAAAGAGGGAATACTTTTCTCTCCTTGTTGTGAGTTTAATAGAGACGGACCTAAACCAAAACAATGAATTTACTTTGGAAAAAAACGAATGAAAATCCCTTTTAGTGGCTTTTATTGAACATGAAAACTGACTTTGGTTCTGTATGATACAGTTTTGATGCTAAATGCTAGAGTTGTTACACTGAAGAGGGACAGTGCATAATATTTGAATGTGGATGGATGTTTTTGCAGTTGCAGTCCTGCTGTTTCTTTTTACTGTCCAACAAAATGAAATGCTTCTAGTATTCTGTCTTTAGACTTGTAACTCAATCTACTCCTTTTAGTGCATTTTTCTGAAAATTTAAAGCCAAAACAAATTCTCTCATATGTTAATGATGGCACACGCTGAGGCCTTTAAAATACCTCTCCTCAAATAACACATGAAACAGCCTTGTAACTATCAATGAACCCTGTGGTGACTTTTTTATTCCGAAACTTTCTGTTGTGATTTAATAAGTATAATCCTATGAAAGTTGTGCACAAAATGATTTTACTTTTTACTGGCTCACAAACGTATTCCCGTTCTTCAGGCTACAGATTGTGCTGGAAAGTTTTGAGACCAGCTTCACGTGTGCTAACCTGAGGCAGTGAGTTATAAGGGAGGACATCTGCAGCAATGGTATAGTAGTTTATGGCACCACCTACAGACACAGATGGCAGTAGGTGCTGCATTTGTAAGTCTTGTGCAACCGGCACGCAATGAGTAATACCGTAACTTACATAATCAGATCACATAATTGCATTGCATTACACTGTGTTTGTACTAATGTACACTTCCAAACTTTACAAGCGCTAGTTGCCCGACAGCATTCATTTTGTTTGTTTTCTGGTTGACACTCATGTTCCACTCTTTTCAATAGCTGATACTTACCGAAGTCACTAGCGCAGTAATGCTCCATTATGTTGTCGGCTTTCATCTCATTGTCACACGGAGGGCACACCTTCGACACTGAGGGGAGAGAGAAATAATTACTACACCGAATCACATTTCATTTGGTGCTATTATGGTGCCAGATTAGCGAATATGCAGCGGCTGAGTTGAGGTCATTGTTAGTCAAGTGCAGTCAGCAAAACCAAAGCTGTGTCGGTATGAAACCTTTAAGCCCTGACCACTTTTGAGGCACTTACTCGCAGCCCCCCTCGACTTGTCAGACTGTATTTGCTGTGGAGCGAATATATAGTACAGCCGGCCGACTGATGTTTGCCCTGCAATTACACTGGAGAAAGTGTTTTTATTCTGGCCGTTGTATATTTTGGTGGTGCGGGCGTGGTCTTGGCCACGCAGAAAGGTAAACGCTGGAGCAGCAGCAGCCGAACATGGTGAAAAGTGATTCAGTAAACAGACGCAGCCGCCATTTAGGCCACACAGCAACCACACATTGTGAAACAGCGGATAAACCAAAGCAACAAGTTCAATTTATTTTTAACTCAGAATGTATGGGCATGCTCGCGCTGCTCAAAAGCATGTGTAATCTCACATGTTCAGCCTCAACATGAGAGAGAAAAAATCTATATATTAATGTATACAGTGTAAAACTTTCCAAATATTCTTGGAAATATGATAATTTTGACCTTTCTCAACTCTCTCACTCATGCTGCTTACTAAACATCTGTCAGAGTGCTCAATCTCGTCCTTCTTAGACACACACAGACATGCTTCATGCTAAATTGCAATTTTCTCCAAAGACTCTTCAATATAAAACTTTATTATGACAATTACTACTTAAACTCCATGTAATCCCAGGGAGACTGGTTGTACACATCTAATATCAGTCCACTTATCCACCAAACAGAGCCTTGGGCCTATTGAGAGAATTAGGTATAATATTAGACAAGGTCAGGGAGAGAGGGATGAAGTATAGAAATCTTCTCAAACCTATAGGATAAGAGAAACTTGGTTATGATTCTTTCATTTTCTCCACGTCTCACACTTACTCACACACACTCACCCACAGGACTATCCTAGCCCCTGGGTTAAAAGTCAGGGTTCAGAGGTTATCACCCCAGCCCAAACCGCAGCGTCTGGCTAGATAATAAGAGGGGTCAAAGTTCAGCATGCTCTGCTGCTCAGGTCATGAGGAGGTTGAACCCCCTAACCACAGCTGAGTGTATGTATCGTGTATGTGCATCGGAGGGAGTTGAACCATGTTCTTCTGGAGTTACACCAGTTTTCTCCTCCGAGGGTTCCCATGCTTTCACGGGCGGGAGACCTGCGGGACCTATACAGGGTCAGGCCTCTAATTGTCTGGTGCTGACATGAAGACTGGGACAAGAGCATGGAAACACACACACACACACACACACACACACACACATGAACATGCTCACACAGATGAAGAGATGCCAGAACTCCTCTGAATTTGTCCTGTTTTGAATGATTGCCTCGGAGCTGTTGCATCTTATTCAGACTCCACAGGAATTCATTCTGGTTTCACAGGGGTGGTACGTTGGCAGGAGGCCCAGTTGCGCTGATGCCAGAGCATGTGTCAGGAGAGCGCAGCCCCCTCCATGAAAACTTAGCTGAGCTTGGACCGAAAACCACTGCTTGGACGCCGCTGAGAAATCAATTAAGCAACAACTGCCCTCATCGTGGTCGGGTCTCTGTCGGGGGAAGAGCCGTCATGTTCTGATGGAAATCACTGCTGCATGGCTTTGGTGTGGTGTTTTTTTCCTGGACACGTTTCCACTCAGCAAATATTTGAACATTAGCTCATTAATGTATTTTTGCCATCATCTCAAAGCAGCTGAGGCTGTTTTTTTACCATGCCATGTGATTAAAATATAGAAAATTAGACTTTGGACTTTTTGTGACTTACACCCCGGATTATAGATTTAACTGCAGAAACATCAATGTTCCAATCAGGGTGAAGAATGTTCTAATATTTTTTGAGGCTGGGAGTCAATGATAAAGAATAAGAGGAGAGCAATGACGGGAGCAGGGTGGGTAAGGAGGCGGTCTGTTGGAAAGTCCTGCTGTTAATCCTCAAACTGAGAGCCAGAGTGGAAATGACATATGACAAGATTCTAGCAACTTCACTACACAGCTTCACTTAGTTAGAGCTCTGAGGTTCATATCACTTTCTCCATTTCAAGTTTCTCTTGTATTTTTGTCTTCTATTTAAAGTAACATGGTTTATAGAGAACCTTATTGAAAATAGGAAAATACAACAAACAAAACTAAAAAACAATATTTAAAAAAAAGATTAATGCTGCTTAAGAGAACAAGAAAGAATAGAAGGTTCCACTATGATGTCATCATCATCATCATTATTTTTGATGTAATTTCTTGTGCAGGAGGAAATTGCTGTGTGTGTCAATTTATGGTCATCACATTCACTTTAAAAGTTTTGTGGAAACACAAGTCCCTTTTTATGCCCTGTCCACACTAATGTGGACATTTTGCAAGATGAAAATGTTTTCTCTGCATTTTGGACTGAGACATTTTTACAAATGCCTTCCAAAGCGCAGATTGTCCAAAACTCAATGACATCACATCTGATTTTGGACAGACCCACTGTTGCGACATTGCTAGCTATATACCAGTTTACCAGTATGTGTCTGGCACTGCTCGGTTTAATTTGAAGTTTTCCTGCTAATTTTAGCATTATCGGCATTTAAAGGTTCAGTGTGTAGAGCTTAGTGACATCTAGTGGTGAAGTTGCATATTTCAGCTGAATACCCCTCAACTCACCCTCCCCTTCCAAACATGAAAGACAACCTGCGGTAGCTTCAATTGTCATGAAAACTCAAAAGGTGTTTAGTTTATCCAGTTTAGACTACTGTAAAAAAACATGGCGGCCTCCATAGAGAGGACCCACCCCCGATGTAAAACGAAGGTCACGTGGACATAAAGGGGTGGGAAGTGTAGACAAAGCCTTAGAATCAATTTTACATTTGGGGTAAATCTTGGTTACAGTATGAGCTTACACACACACACACACACCCCTTAACACAAAAGATATGAGTATTGTCATGTGATCCGCTAGCATGTCTTGTCCCCTGCAGCCTAAGCATTACATTGTTTTTTTAACGGGCAGAGTGTTCCATGTAAAGTATGCGTGGGTCACTATCTCATGCCTCATTTGGGCCCTTAAAGTTATGAGCAGCAACACTTATGACATAAAACGGTACTGTGCCGGAGATGAAATGTGGCGTGTGATTTATGTCAGACAGCCTAACATCTGTTAAAATGCGGCATGCAGACAGAGGAGGAGTCAAACACGGACCGCAGGCTGCCCCTGGGGCCCTTAAAACACACCCCGTACCTCACATCTGTAGGAACCCTACACAGAAGAGGAAACACGTTATCAAAAAAAGGCCCAGGCAGTCTTCCGTGCACAGACCCATGGATCACATTTTCCCTTTCATATAGCAGCCAGGGCCACATGAGTAGTGCCCATTGTGCTGCTGGGGACCTGACAGCGCGGGCCCATCTCCTTTAGCGCGGCTGTAACTTACACTAGCCACATCAATGAGGACAGCGAGGACAGACAATATCTTTCACACCATGCAATTTCAACCACTTTCACCAGACAACGTTCATATTGTCTCGTAGAGCATTTTTCTGTGGAAGAACACAATTTGAGTTGTGGAGTTGCACTAACGCAGAATCCTTCTTTCAGTTATCAAACCTTATTATTTTCTGATGCTGACAGTTGATAAAGGCAGCATCATTAAATCCATTGGGTGGAGTTGATGGCTGCTCAGCCGCACACACTGAGCTCAGCTGGCCTTTTATTCTCCCTGGATACCTGGGTCCTTCCAGTCAGCAGGCTACTTCTCTTCCCTGCTTTAATATCTAAAGACGTGTGTTTCACACATTCACACCCCATGGGCCCCACTTACACACACCCATGAACCTGCACACTCACACAACCTGAGCTCAGATGCTGGCGGCGGTCCTCTCAGCTCTGGCTGTGACAGAGGTGGAAAGTGAATCTAACTCTGTTCTGTAAGTTTCCACAGGAGCCCTTGAACCGTGTCGTATCACGTAATTGCAGAATAGCTCAGATATCACCGGGACAAGAGGAGCAGCAGGTCCAACAGCACTTAATTCATGTGATCGATCCAACTCCCCAACATCCACCTAGACCTCCACAGCAGTCCTTCTGTATATGAACCTGCGCAAAGACAATCATCCATGTTCTTTTGACACTAAGGCTTCCTGGGAAACTCACTTCTACGAGTTCTTTGCTGAAATTCCTTTTTGTTATTACTGGCCATGCTTGTGTATGTGCATGTGCACCTGTTTCTCTCTCTCTGTGTGTGTGTGTGTGTGTGTGTGTGTGT